CTTTAAGCTGAATTGGCTCCCCAATATTACCAGTAAGTTTTCTTTGTGCTTTATTTTTTGCTGCACATGCTCTGGCTTGGTTTCTTTGGTCACACCAAAGCTGCAACATGTAATATAAAGATAATGATATAAGAAAAGATATTATTTTAACAATAAGAAAAGCATAATATGTATTAAAATAACATTGGAAATATAATATAAAAATATTTGTAATATATATATACAAAATAATACTTTTTTAATATATTTTCATACTTTCTTCCAATTCTCCATAGTCTTTGTCGGTCCTTCCATTGAATTTAATTTTTCACAACGCTGCCATTGTTTATCATGGGCTAATTTTCCTTTTGCTCCCAATAATTTATTTGTAGCAAAAGCAACATGATTTTGCATATATGTAATGAGATATTCTATTTATGTATTGCTCACTTTAGGAGCCCTTGTCTTTTTTGGAACAATTTCGATGCTTATACTGAGATAAAATATATATATTATTAGAAAATACATGCAAAAATACAATTCTTATCCCTAACATACTATATACACACAATTATCCAACGTATATATATAAATAAGCACACTCTCTAAGGACCACTGTTATCATCGTCGGTTTACTTAACCAGCCTAGTAACTGTAATGAAATAGAAAGAGATAGAAATAGTTCTATCTCTTTCTATTTTATTACGGTTACTAGGCTGGTTAAATAAACCGACGATGGTGACAGTGTCCCTAAATCTGAAATAGTGGATAATATACTGAAGTGGCTTATTGGTACTGAATTATCAGCATATCATATTAACACACTTGGCACTGAATAATTAGAAACTCAACTATAATTGAAAGTAAATTTGAGCATTATATACTTAAAATACTGATAGCATGTTCTAACACATAGTAATTCTAATCTTACAATACCATATACATTGAATACACTACATTTAAGGTGCCTTCCAACAAGCGATTCAGTACAACCAGTGATCATCTCATCCTTGTTTATGACATTGGCAAACAACAAGGATGTAGTGATACACTGTGTCACAACGTGTCATGTATATCTCTTGTTGGAAGGCACTCTTATACTGAAGGTTTATTCTAAGTTATATATATAAGATACTACGTTTCATTCATTATAATTAATAATGGCATACTTGGCACTGAATTAGTGATTATCCATTAATTCAGATTCAGAGAGCATATATAAAGATATATATATGTACATGTAACCTACAAACGTATTGTGTTTACTTATTTAGTTAAATTGGTGAATAATTTAATCTAAGATACTTTAGTTGTAACACATATGTATATTTTTTAATAATATGCATTGTATAAATACTTACTTTATGTATTTTCTTTCCTATGTACACTGCACCGAGAAAGAATCGCGGCATTACAATTTAAATCCTTTATTCCGATTCGCTTTCAATATATGACGTCATTATGTTTTCCTAGGCCGGTATTCATAGGCTGTGTTCCAAAATTGTTTGTCAGCGCTGCGAGCATGTCGTCATAAGTGCATGCTACCAATAGTGTT